GCCCCGCATTGGGCTCCCTGCTCGGCGGGAGGCCTGCTTCTCCCTCTCCCACTCCCCCTGCTTGTGTTCCCTCTCTCGCTGTGTCTTTCTCTGTCAAATAAATAAAAAAAATCTTAAAAAAAAAAAAAAAGAAACCACTGAGAAATTATCAATAGCCGTTCATTCTTTTTCCCGTGGATTATCCCCTCATACAAGGTCCACCGATGTTGAGAGGAATCGTGCTTGGAAGGATGGGGGTTGTCAGCTGACTTGCGGTTTTTTTATTTTAAAATTTTTAAAATTTTTTAATTTTTTTATTTTTCCCCCTTCTGATTTCAGATTCCTGAATAACCCTGGTGACACACGCAGAGTACAGTACGTGGATTACATGGATGAAATTGCCTCTGAAATAGGAGTGAAACCCAAACTGCTCTCACTCTTCCTGTGGGATCCAAAGCTGGCTATGGAAATTTTCTTTGGACCGTGCACACCTTACCAGTACCGTCTGTCGGGGCCAGGGAAGTGGGCTGGGGCCCAGAGAGCCATCCTGACCCAGAGAGCGTGGATCATCAAGCCCCTGAGGACTCGCACCCTCACCCGTGACCGGCCTCCATACTCTGTGCCATGTTGGCTTAAAAGAGCCTGTGCTGCTCTTCTCTTTGTTCTCAATTTAGTCGTTATTAAAGGATAATCCTATGATCGTTAGTACATTAGAGCTATCGGTGACACACACTAATTAAGAGATGGGCATGTGCAGTGTTTATCCTTCAGTTCAGACGAGACCAGTACAATAAATTATCTGATAACTCCAAAATTTCTCATGCAGAAGTATTTTGGCAAAATTGGGGATTTCTTCAACAGAGATTTCAAGTGAAGTGGCTTGTATGAAACTTGCTTTGGAAGTGTATAGTTAATTTCCATAACATGACAGATGTTCTCCGTAACGCCAAGTTCTCCTGGGCCCTCCCTTTACAGTAAACACACGGTTTGTCAGCTGTTTGCAATTGGCAGATTCTTGGTTTTGCATGGAAAGCACAGGCTAGGACAAAGTAACTCTTCCCACAATCTTGAATAGCTAACAGCGAACAAATGTCTTCATCAGGAACCTTCTCCTCTAGGGTCACATTCTATAGGATCATGGATATTGAGGTAACAGAGTACTTGTACTACAGGTTATGTCAGGGATTATTGAGGGTATTTTAGGGGCTGGAGAATGCCACGGAGGAGAATGGAAGGAATAATAGAAGTCAGGCAATGTACATAACTTTGCGTTCTATTAAAAGTATCGGAACATGGAACGAATTCCTCAGTAAACATAGAAAATTCTATAAAAACATTCAGGAGAATGTGAAGAAGAGATGGAGAGAAAAAGTAGTAAATATATATATATATATGTGCAGATATCTCTTCAAGATCCTGTTTTCATTTCCTTTGGATATATACCCACAAGTGGGATTGCTGGAATATGGGAGCTCTATTTTTAATTCTT